GTAACTCGAGTGGAATCACGACTCTAGATTTACACACAGCTGCTGCAGCCGTATAGCCGAGTGAGATATAATTAGCGTTTGATCTAGCCTTTGGTAAAGTCATTAGGTTGCAGCAAGGCGGTCTAGCAGGGTTTGAAAAGGAATACTGTACTGACACTGAGCTTCACTCGGAGGAAGGTGAAGAATTTGCTTGGGTGATATGGAGTTCAGGCCGATTACACGGTTTCGACTTTGTTATTATTCTCAGGAAAATGTTACCTTAAATCGGTCAGCTTTTGATGCAAGTAATGCATCTAAAAAAAAAAAAAAACGTATTCATTCATTAATTTGCATTTTTTTTCTTAAAAGAGGCTTAATTTTGGAATGTTAATAAGAAGGCTTGTCCTTTGAAAGTCCTATTTAGACTATATATATATATATATATATATATGTATGTGTGTGTATAACAATGACGTGACTCTTAAATGGGTCAGGTGAGTTGACACAACAATAGACTTCAGTGTTTCCTCTAGGATTTTTTCCAGCTGTGGTGGCAGGACTATTTCCCATGGACCCACGCCCCTTCCTCACCCAAGAATCACGTGCATTCAAACTCAGAATTAAATTTATTTTAACTAAAGACAAGTAAATAGTAAGTAATAAAATAAGAACAAATAAATAAATGACAAGCAATAGCACATACAAAAACAATAAGATACAAATGAAATTAACAGTACTTTAATTTTTTCAGGTAGGTCTAAATAATATATAGGTTCTGAATTACTACAGTAACTGAATAATCTATTCAACTGTAAAATAACACTAGATGGTTTTCACTGTATAAATAGAAAGTAATGACAAACAGCAGCAGGTTTATTTAGGCTGCTGTCTCTTTAAGACCTCATGCACGGATCTAATATACTGCTACACGGCTCTACGCTTGCTTTTCTTTTTAGGAGCACCTTCTGGTCAATAATCTAAAATTCTGATCAAAATTTGCCTTCCTAATATGAGGTAATATTTGAATTCTTAAAGTGATTTACAGGGGCATTTTTTTTTACCTTTTGTAATGGCATTTGTCTAATTTAAAAAAAGTATGTAATCTACTGTATGTCAATTTCAAAAATGTATATTTATAAGCTTTTTAAAATTTCTAATTAAAACAATATAATAAGAAGTAGAATGAGAAGAATAAGTTACCAATCATATACAATTAGTATTAATAAAAACTTAATTTGTACTTCGTAAAATTTTGCCTATAGAAATATTAAATGATTTAAATAACTGAAATTATACTTTAAAAATGAAACTAAAACTGCCAGCAGGTGGCAGCAAGTCACTGATTTTATCACTGAATAATTGAGTCAATTGATTCGTTTGAACAGCTGATTCATTCAGGAATGATGCAAGTGACTGTCTTTATGAATTGCTAATTGAAACATTGACTGACTAGATTCGTTCAAAAGCGCACTTTCATTCATAAAAGAAACACCGCTGTGTTTGCTTGGAGATGCGCAGCGGCTCAGCTGTGACTTTGTTTGGAACAAAAAAGCAAAATCAGGCAGTAGTGTTATAGTCAGACAACGCAAGTCACTTAATATTAATTTCCTGTTTATTGAACTGTTAGTTGTATTAAATTAGTATCACATTTGCAAACTCCCTTAATTATTAAAAGCTGTCACTCTCCTTAGTTTATCGTGATCTGTGGGAGCAAACGGTCTATAATAGAGCACGCGAGTGAGTTCTCTTTCACTTTAAAGGGGTCATAGGATGCTACATGCACTTTTACAAGTTTTGAACTGAAATGTGTGTTGGCAGTGTGTGTACACAACCACCCTATAATGATAAAAATCCACCGTGTTTTTTTTAAAAATCTCGTTAAATGTTAGCAAGACTCAAGCACGTGCAAATGATACATTCTGTCATCTACGGTCATGGCGTTATAAGCGCGGAACCTGCGGGAATGAGTAGAATTATATGCAATAAAATCCCGAGCCGAAATTAATGTCCTGCTTTGTGTTGTGCATGATGCAAGCGGCATCACTGAGAAGCTGCAGCCGTGGCGGGGATGATTTTTGGTGTGGCGGCCCGCCACGGCAGAATGAATGTAGCAAAAACACTGGACTTCAAGCAATCCATCAGCAGGCTGTCAGAACAGAGGAAGCCGAAAGCAGGACTGCATTCTAATTTTGGGGGAGATCTTATACTTAAACTTGCAGTTTCTGCAAGTATCCTTGTAAACACAGTTGTTTAGGTGAAGGTAAACAATTGAGAAAGAAAATGGATGTGTAACAGTATATTGGTTCACAGCAGTTTAATGTTCCTGCTTTCTGTCATGAATGTTAATCAAACAACAAAACACATAAAGAAAAATCACTTTTGTAGATTTAACAGATTTATTAGATTTAATTTATACAGTGTTATTTTACTTTTGATTATTCAATTTCTGTACCAGAAATACTGTTTGTTAGACTTACCTGAAAAAAAAATATAAAGCATTATTTTATTTAATTTTTATCTTTGTTCTATTATATTTATCTATGCTTGTAATTTGTTTGTTTTCTATGCTGATTAACTCGCCTACAAAAACACCCCAATCATTGATTACTTTTTTTCCAAATAGAACTATTCAAGTCAAGTTGTTTATTGTTTTTTTTTTATATCGCAATATATATCGCAGAAAAACAAAATATCGCAATGTGAGTTTTTTTTCCCCCCCAAATATCGTGCAGCCCTAGTTTCCGCCAATAAATATAAAATAAAAAAAGGTAATTGCGAGTTTGTCTCTCAATTTTGGGTTTTTCTCGCAATTGCAAAAGATACAAACTCGCAATTCTGATGTTTTTTTTTTCTCAGAATTGTAGGATACAAACTCGCAATTCTGACTTTCGATATTATACCGATACTTTTTAAGGCCAATATCATCGATACCGATACGATACTTCTAAACTGAACTTTTAAATAATTACATTTTGCTATTAAATTATTAAATTACTAAGAGTAAAATGCGTAATGATACCCACTTACCTTTACATTTGAAACACATTTTAACATTCAGTATGCCTTAACTGCATGGTTAAAATGTTTACCATCTACAAATACTATAGTTGAACTATGGTCACTTTAGTAAAACCATATGGTTCATTTTCACTGCCATTCCCAAAAACATCAATGCTTTCTTAATATGATACTTTTGGGAAATGCAGCCGTTTTAATGCACTGTCAGAAGTGAGTGAACACTCTCTCTCTCTCTGTGATTGATTGATTCTGTCTTGCAACATTTGCTTGTGTTCAGATGAGCAGGAAAATAGTTCTTTCCTACACAATTATTCGCTAACATATTTTATTTGTCCAATTCAATGCATGCATTAATTTTTTTTTGTTAAATAAACAAAACCACTGGTAAATAAAACACACCTTAGTATCAATATTTTTTATTTGAGTATCGATACTTCCAATAATCGCATCTGTATCGATATATCCAGGGGTGCACATAAGTGGTTCGCAGGTCCGCATGCAAGACCAAAATAAGAAATGCGCTGTGTAAATTAGTTCAGAGCGCGCGTTTGCGTACCGACATGGTTGACCGCTGTTAATGCACAAATTACCATTTTAGATAGACAAACTGTGCTGTATAAGATTTCTATTCAAACTGAAAGCATAAATCTAGGCTACCCGCTAGCATTTTCAAAGCACAATGCAAAACTGTGACATTTCATTCACTGACGCGCTACAGTCGGCAGCGTTAAACCCGGAACTTGGAAGCGCATAAACTTACTTGCCGGCAACCCGCCAAAATAAAAGCTTGCTGATTTTAAGTTTGAAAATGAAAAATTAAAATAATTCAAATTAAAAATAATAATTAAGGTTCAAATTAAAATAATAATAATATTAGCATTTTATTTAAGTTTACTATAAAATAATTGTATTTGTATTTAATACTCCCTTTTTATTTTAAAATAAAATAGTATTATCACGCTTTATTTAGTTTATTATTTTATTTAAAAAATAAAGTGCAATAATATTATCACTATTATTAATAAATTTTTTATAGTTATATTTGATGGGTCACACCATGTGCCGTGTGAGGACCAAAACAAATCTCCAGGTTCTCATATAAAAACCAGGCTGAAAAACTTGTGCACCCCTGGATATATCGATACTTCAGGATCGATACGCCCATCCCTAGTCAGAATTGCATAGAATAGAAGATGTAAACTCGCAGTTGTGACTTTTTTTTCTCAGAATTGCATGGTGCAAGAATTTTCTCTTGCAGTTGGGAGAAAAAGGTCAGAATTGTGAGAGAAACTCACAATTCTGAGATCAGTCTTTTCCTGATAGATCAATTTGTTGGTTGTTGGATGCTTGTGACCCATCCCTAGTAGCTATCAAATTTGTCTAATGTGTGGTCCTTAAAACCATACATTAAAATATTCTGTTTTTAATTTTTTGTCTCTTGTCAGAGTTATATGTTCTGGGTTTGAGTGTGCTTATATAATGTAGGCTTATATGTGATAAACACATCTCCCTGTTACATGATACTGTAAACATTTATAGTCTTGGCAGTTGACCAATGTAACTGTTTATGAACTCTATATTATAGAGTGGTTTTAGTGTAAGCGTGCCCTTTTCCTTTCACATACACTGATTAAATCTCACTGCTTCCTTTTCACACTTGTTGAATTAACTGTTAAATTTTATTTTATTTAGAGGAACACATTTACAATTTGGATCAACCTGCATGTCAGTATACACACACGCGCACACACACACACACTTCCAAGCACGTTTTTCTCAATTTCCAACTTCTTTGATGCCCAAACATCTTAATGTTTATATCTAGTCATAGTCTTCATAAAGACATTTTCGAAGATGATTATCATCACTGATAATGATTGTCATTTGTTAGGTCTCTTGAGGGTTAGAAAAATGCACATGCAATGTACTTCACAATCGCTCACTCAATAAATTGGACTACAAATCAGTTAATTTCACACAATTTCTCTTGTTTTCATTCACAGGTGCTGCGTTTTTTCTGCGACAGCTGCGCCGTGCCGATTTGTAGAGAGTGCAGCTTGGGCAGACATGCGGGTCACAGTTTCACCTACCTGCAGGAAGCACTGCAGGACTCCAGAGCGCTGACCATCCAGCTGCTCGCAGACGCACAGCAGGGCAGACAGGCTGTACAGGTTAGTGAACAACTGCAATCTCTCATAAACAGACATCAGCACAAACACCTGCTGGATATTAGGGCTGAAACGACATTATCGACATTAAAAAATCGTCGACAATAAAAAAAATTGTCTACAAATATATTTGTTGTCGAGTAGTCGTTTGATTTCATATGACCTAATGCAGTGTTTCCCAACTGGGGTGCCGTGTAAAAAAATAATTTTTTAATATTTTTAAATTGGTAAAATGTTCAAAAAAGCATCTATTATATAATATCAATTTCTGATGTTGCCAATAATTAGAGATGCACCGAAATTCCGTAGCCCAGCCCGTGTCCGACAGCTTATAAGAATTACCGGCCCGAGCCCATCTTTTTTCCCCCTTCTCCCAAAACAGCTTATACTACGGTTTCAGCTATTAAAATAGTTCAGTTTTGTATGTAATGGCAAAGTTATTATATTTAGTTTCATTTTTTAAATTAAGTTAATTTAGAAAAACGTTTGGAGCATTTTTTTGTTCGTTAAATATAAGTTTTTGTTTTTTTAAAGTAAACAGTGGCCAGCGGGAGACAGTTAGCCTATGTTTGATCAATTTAGCCTTCTCAAATCATCAAGATTTGCCTAAAATAAAATCTATAGATATAAAACAGTTCAAGCATATAACAATGTTTAAGCGTTAAACCTAGATAAATGTGCGCTATATCCAATAGTTCGTGTGGAGAGTGGAAGCTAAAGCGCGCTTTGCAGGACATGGAGGCGCCAGCGTGATCATTTGCATTTTTTTTCAGTGGATACGCCGTCATTTTTGCTCATAAAGGTATAAGAGTAATACATCATTCATAACTGTAAAGGGTCTACTTTTATTTGTGTGCACTCACAATATCAACAAAAC